GGTATTTTTAAAGACCATATCCAAAAACCTGTTAAATATTGTCCTGCTTGTAAATAAAATTTTACATTGACCATGTCTTTTTATCATAAGAATATCTTGTTCCAAAGAATTTTATCAACAGCTGAAAAAACTAATTCCCCTTTGAAACACATTATGAATATTTTAAACAGAATGGTGCTGGGGCTGAATCTTAAACTATAGAAAATGATGAAAATATGTAAGAAAAAAAATGGGAATATCATATTATAATATTTGCAAGTATGGTTTTTATCCACTCTTATGAATTTTTGTTTTTATTAAGACAAAAGGGTGGTTACAAACATAACTTATATTACTTTTGAGTATCTTTATGTTTGAAGTACGTGACTATAAGTTGGTGTTTGTGTTTGTTGGTTTGCTATTTATTTGTGAAGTGGCTTTCTTTAAAAGTCTGAAATTACATAATTTGAATTTTAAAAACCAGTTTTTTTGGTTGTAATTCATCCAAATATAATGCAATTTTTTTTCTTTTAATTCTGTCACAGATCTTATGTAAAACATTTTGGAAATTAATAATAATAATAATAATAAGTGGTCTTATATAGCGCGGTACCCCGGCCTAGGGCTGGGCTCACCGCGCTGTACATATATAGCAAAGAGGCATAATCATAATATTAAAATAAAATACATAAATGAAATAAAAACAACATATAAGCAAAACAACACCATAGGTATATTCATCCACCCACACCAGACATTTTTACAAGGAAACCCATGTACGTTTATCGGTTTATAGGAAAGACAGAAAGAAGTTCAGTTAGATAGGAAGGGCAGGAATCCGAGAAAAAGTTGTGACAGAGAAGAGACAGCTTGTAGTCAATGCGTGCCTGTATAGGGAGCCAATGTAGTGAGTGGAGTAGTGGAGTGACGTGATCGCGTTTTTTTGCCTTTAGAACAAGCCTAGCAGCAGAGTTTTGAACTTTCTGCAGTTTTTCTATAAAATGTTTCGGTGAACCTGACAGAAGTGAGTTGCAATAGTCAAGACGAGAGAGAACAAGAGCACAGACTAGAGTTTTTGTTGCGCTAACTGTCAGGTAGTGGCGGATGGAGCTGATCTGACGGATGGCGGTGTATGCCGAACGACAAATGTGAGAGATATGTTTATCGAGAGACATGTTGTTAGAAAGAATATAACCAAGATTCCTAGCAGAGGGTGTAAACTGTATGTCGGAGTTACCTACTTGAAATGAGGTGGGAAGAGTTGAGGTAGAGGATGATTTGTGATTGTAAATGAGAAGTGCTTCTGTTTTGTCATCATTAAGCTTCAACTTGCTGAGTGTCATCCAAGACTTGACATCATCAATGCACCCCCGCAAAGTCTGGACAGCGGAATCGACAAGAGATGGATGAGTATGCATGTATAGCTGTGTATCATCTGCAAATGACTGGTTCTCAACAGCATGCCTCCCGAGCAAGAGGAGTAGTGGTCTGGTATACATTATGAATAGAACCGGACCCAAAACGGACCCCTGTGGCACTCCGTACACCAAATCAGCACTGCCGGAGAGACAGCCATCGACAGAGACCATTTGCGTTCTATCAGAGAGGTAGGACCTAAACCAAGCCAAAACCGAACCAGAAATTCCAAAGTAGTTTTCAAGGGTTTTGAAAAGGATTTCATGGTCAACAGTGTCAAAGGCCGCACTGAGGTCTAAGAGGATCAAAATGGAGACATTACCGCTGTCCATTGCGCGCAAGAGGTCATTACTGACTCTCAAGAGAGCTGTCTCCGTGCTATGGAAATGTCTATAGGCCGACTGATTAGAACTGAGAAGAGAGTGATCATTTAAGTAAGCAAAAAGTTGTTTTAGGACTAGTTTTTCAATAACTTTAGATAAAAATGATAAGTTAGATACAGGTCTATAGTTTTTTAAATTATTTTCATCCAGACCGGGCTTCTTAAGCAATGGTTTGATGACAGCTGATTTGCAAAGAGGCGGAACAGTGCCAGAATATAAGCTTTCATTTATTATGCGGGTTATTGTTGGGAGCAAGATATCTAATGACTCAACCAACAGGGGGGTTGGGATGGGATCCAAATAACATGACGTATGTTTAGATTTTAGGATTATATTTTTTACCTCAAGTTCTGAAACAGGTTTAAAAATATTAAAATGGGAAGTAAGACAAGGGAAAGGAGGCAATTCAAGGGGAGGGGCATCAAGACGATCAAGCTCAGCTCGAATGTCAGCTACTTTGCTTGTAAAGAAATTACAGAAAATATCTGGTTGCTTGGGCAGGGGAAACACCGAAGGAAGCGCAGTTCCTTTGTTACTCCCCCTAAGGTGACCACAAACATCAAACAACTGCCTGCTGGTTTTACCCATAGTTATCTTTTGGCTAAAATACGTAGTCTTTGCACGACAAACAATCTGATTGACACGCTTCTTGGCAGCGTAAAATATCTGCTTAAAAACCACAAGACCTGACCTTAACCACTTCTTTTCTGCACTACGGCGCTCTTTCTTGGCACTGCGTAGTTCCTCCTTGATGGTCGCATACCAGGGAGATGACCGCTTTAGACTAAAATTGCGGCGGGTGACAGGGGCGTGTCGGTCAAGCACAGCGCGCAATGCACGGTCTAGTGATTCCAATGTAGGGCAGAGGGCAGGGGACACTTCTACGCTTAGGTCATGCTTAAATGCATCCCTGTTTATAGCTCGCAGACTGCGCACCTCCCTAAACTGAGGGGGAGGGTTGGGGGCACTAACACTAAGTTCACAAATAACACAGAAGTGGTCAGAGGACAGCTCTTGTGTGATTGAAGTAGATCTAACTACACCATCTTGAGGCCTATGTAGTACCCAGTCAAGAATATGTCCACGATTATGAGTCGGTTGGTCGACCGATTGGTGAAGACTGAATAAATCCAAGAGATCCAACATCCTAGCAGTGGAGGGGTGCTGTGGTTGATCAAAATGGAAGTTCATGTCGCCTAGTACAATGTAAGTCCCGGTCAATGTGTTGCAGTGGTCAATCAAATCCGGGAATTCTCGATGAAACACTGAGTCGGTCAATTTATTTTTCTTACTAGGGAAGGTGCGATATATGCACATGAAATGAACTGTCTGCTGGGGCACTGACAGTGTAAATTGAACTACCTCAAAAGACGTGTGGACGAATGGGAGGTCTGTGACAAAAGCTGTATGATGGGACAACGTGTCTCTATATATAATAGCAAGGCCTCCGCCGCGAGTTGAACGGGGAAATGATCTGGCAGAATAGCCATAGGGAGCGAGATCGGTGCACTTCCCCTCATCGCCAGTCAGCCGAAACCAGGTCTCCTGGATAAACAGAATGTCAATCTGCCTATCAGAGACAAATTCGGAGACTGCAATTCGTTTCTCATAGGGGCCAAGCGACTGGGCGTTGAATGTGGCAATGAGAAGTTGTTTGTTGATAGAACGTGGAGAGGTTTTGATGTGAATGAGGTTGGCAGGGTCCGAGTAGTGTAGAGTAGGTCTTGGTAAAGAATGAGTGACAAGTTGTTGTTGTTTTCGTCTACCACCACGGTGGGTGCGCTTCCGAGGCAGGCCTCGACCAATCAAAAGCTCTTTCAGTCGACACACGAGGTCAGCGGTCAGATGCGTACGCTTGGCATTCATTGACAAAAGACGATCACGTGTGTATGCAAGCTCAGGTCGGTTACCGCCGTGGGGGCTGCGTGTGTCACTGACCGTAACGTCGACTTGACCGAGCGATGAGCGTGGTGCCGACAAAGATGGCCGACCGTGTAGGCGGTGAATCTCACTAACCTTTGCAACAAAGAAAATCCAAAACAACAAAAGTCCAAAGTTAGGAGGGACACAAAACATATCCGAATCAAAGTAGTGGTCCATGGTGGATATCCAGTACAGAAAAAACAATACAAAAATCAGTCAGACACACATAAAATTGCATTCAATCAGGAGCCCGAGTCTATACGTGCCTGCAAGGCGTAGCCTCGTTCTTCTATATATTACTTATAAAGTAACTACTTAAAGTTAAAGTGTTCAAAATAGTTCTAATTTTTTACAATTTCGCTAGTTCATACAATAAAAAAATGTAATTATTTTTAAATCAAAGTAAATAACTAAATAAATTAAAATGTGTAATTTTTTAATATGAAATTACAATATCAAAGCTAAATGAGAATCAATTATTTTCTTCATGTCATATATTACAATTTCTCCTTTGGTATGCTTATTAGCTCTTTTTACTCTGAGGGTCAAAATTTTGCACTCTTTTTATCTCTCTCTTGAAATAGCACACAATGAAAATTATGACAATACACAGGAGGGAAAATAGAGACAGTCCAATACTCAAGCCAAGTAGGAGTTTTTGTGATTCTGAAAAGGAAATAGAGAATTTTATAATCAGGGGCAAAAACTGTATATTAAGAGTGATGCAAATAATGTCAACATATCGATTTTTTATTAAAAGTCACAAGCTATTATGTCCCATGTGTGTATAATATTTTAAATAACCAGAAAAACTAAACTGCAACATTTTCTTTTCAATAAAAAAAAGTGAAACAAACAATTCTATACGGCATAGAACTCAAAGATCACGATAGAGGATTTTAAAAGCTCATAGACAAAATTTTTACTTTATGTAAGTTAAAGGCACCAAATAAGTTTATTGAAAAAAATATTTATAAATCTATTTAAATTATGTAACATAATCAATACAAATTAAAAGGATATATTTTAAAAGTTAAAAAAAATGAAAAATACCATCATCCTCCTGGGTTCTGAAAGAAAATAAATGTTAACATTTTAGTAAATATTCTTAGAGTAAGAGCAATTTGTTTTTCAAAATAAAATGTTGCAAATATATATCTGAATAGCAACACATCTCTTTAAATATTAATATATATTCCTAAAATTCATTCATATTGCTAGGGAAATCTGACTCGGGGAAAGGGATGACCAATTTTGTTGCTATACCATGTTCTTTTCATGGTACTTATTGAAATCACCTTAAAGCAAGTTGACTAACCTGCAAACAGCTTCTTCTTTTTCATCTTTACATGTCTCAGAAGCTGCACATGGATCCAGCTTACTTTTTATATTACAGGGTGTGTCATCCTTTAGGACTTAATAAATAAAGATGGAAAGATTGTTAGAGTGAATCAAAGATCGATTCAGATTAGGCAACAGTGTATTTACTTTGAGTATATTTCCTCTATTAAATAATATATTCATAATAAATGCTTTATTGCTTTATATCATGTAATTTTTCACAAAATATTTGCTTTATTAAATGATACTCAAAGAAATATTAAATGAAATGAAGTAATAATATTAAACTGGTAATCCATTTTTCCATATTTAGTTTTGAATTCTAAATTAAATGAATTCACTACATTTACTCTGGTTATTCCTAATTTTGATAAATGTAGGTAAAATAGTTATAAAAGAATGTTGGGCATTACAAATAATGAGTCATTAAAAAATAAAGACTCACTTTCTACACCACTTATTATCAGATGTAATATTTTGCCATTTATGTTGTTTATTGTGATGCCAATTCCATTTTTCAAAATTTCCACTAACACCATGGCTAACTTCAATTCACTAGCCTTATCAGTGGTGTTATTGGTTGCCATGGTAATATCAGTATTAATGATAAGGCTTCCATGTCTGAGGATCAGATATTCAGATTTTAAGAAATTTGTAACATCTTAAAATAATTAAAATTTTATTCTGAACATATCTCTTTCAAAATTTTGAATTATAAAAATATAGCATGAGAAATGACAAGAGAAGTACCTTAGATTCATTATAGTCACTAAAATGACAGTTGCCTCCTTTTTCAATACTTCTAGCAACTGAAACGGAAAAATCATTAACATTTTTGGAATTTTTGTATAGTATTTAAAAGCATGTGCACTGAACATTCAATAAAGCGAAAATTAAGATTTTCTTCAAATATTATTAATCATCTGTATAAAAATTCATAAAATTGGATTTGATAGACATTTAAGAAGTTATAAAATCATTCATATTTATTATTTATTTTAAATTGTATACATAAAAAGATTTTTAAAGGCTTTCATACCCCTTTTTGTGCTGCTTCTGAAAGCTTCAGGTAATTATCCGAATTTTTGTTTGATATATCAAAGCCTGTCAAGTTATAATCTATTGTTAAGATTAATGAAACTGTGTGCCTGAATGGAAGATCTGTTGGAAAAAAAATATTTTTAATAGGGTAAATTTGACAAACCATGTTACAATGATGACATAAAGAAATTTTTGGAACTTAAAATATTAAAACAAAACAATTTAAAAAATGCAACTCAAATTTATTAAAGTTATTTTAAAACTTCTCCAACATTATTTATCTTAAGGACTGTGTGAAAACAGCATCCCATAATAACATGTACAAGAACAGAGTTGTTTTTAAACTTTAAAGTAGAAGATACAATTTTTAGGGTTACATTACAAATTGTTCCCAATAATAAAATTTAATAAGCTTGGAGGTGTTATCATATTCTATCATTCTAATCCTTGTATAGTAGGATATATTTAAAATTTATTTTTTATCAATGGAACTTTTTTACTTTTAAGATTTATAAGTATTTGTCAAAATTATTTAGCTTGTGTAGTTATTTAAAGAGTTTGAGTGAAAGAAAGAAATATTTTTGTAGGTGCTAATAATGTGCAAACTGACATCTCACATTGTTTAAGCACCAAGAAAGAAGCAATTAAATATATATAATAGATAGATAGATAGATAGATAGATAGATAGATAGATAGATAGATAGATAGATAGATAGATAGATAGATAGATAGATAGATAGATAGATAGATAGATAGATAGATAGATAGATATATATATATATATGCATATGTATATATATATATCTGTTTTAGTTTAAAATAAGTATTTTCAAACTAAACTAATCATTATAATAATTTTTTAACTTTGGCACATGCAGAAATGAAATACTTTTAAATATTTTTTCTTTTAAATTGATCATGAATAATTTAGTAACATTACTCTATAAGAACTACAATAACTTAAAGTAATTTGTCTTGTGAAATGGGTGGACAAAGAAAAAAGTGATATAGTATATGGCTTCATTATGCATTAATCTATATTAAAAGATAAAACCAGCCAATGAAACATCAAATTCTTACCTCCACAAATTTTCTCTTTGAGAATGAATCCATCATCACAAACACAGACGTAAGATCCATTTGTGTTTACACAGTGAGAATGTTCTTGACATGGTTCTGAGTTATCAGCACATTCATCTACATCAGTAGCACAGTTATCTCCCTTCCAGCCAGGAAGACACTTACAGGCTCCATTGATATTATCACAAGTTTTGGTATTTGACCTTTCACAACTGCAACTACTGTTACAGTTCATACCATATTTTCCATCAATGCACTCTGAATGGATATAATTTGCTCATTATTAATTTTTTTTTTTTATTTTAAAAAGAATTAAACATGTTGTTCCCCCCCCCCCAAAAAAAAATAGGCATCAAGAGCCATGCTCAAAGGCAGGTTTGCACAACTTATGGCCAGTGGTCACATGCTACCCACCAGCACCCAATTTGCGGCCCGGGAAGTAACTAAATACTCTTTATTATTTTTGTTTATAGCTTTCCTCCCTGTCCTGTTATCTTTTGGCCCGCACAAGTTTTTCATAAAGAATTATGGCCCGCCCTAAATTTGTGGTTGTGAAGGCCTGCTCTAAGGTACCCAAAGCAGAATTTATCAAAATTCTTTAAATTTTTTTATATTTATTGAAAGAAAAGTAACATTACTTTATGCTTAATCAATCTTTTTTTACCTGTACAAGTGAATCCATCAGATGCTAAATATTTACCAATGTTACACAAACATTGAAAGCTGGTGTTTTCTTTTGTTTCAACACAACTTTCAGTACATGAACTGAGCTTACACAAATCTAAGTCTAGAAGAATTTTTTTTTTAAAGTTAAAATTGTTAAAGATAACATAAATATAAAACAATTATTCAACATGATATATATGTCTGATTGATATTAAATAAACTTCATTTGTCTTAATAATGTTACGCCAACATACAAGTTTGAAAAAAAAAAATAATAATGGTAATACAAATATCTATTTAACATTTTAGAAACATTTTTCAGGTTCATTAAGTATGCTGAATTCTAACCTGCACATATATTTCCATTCTGTATGAAACCATCATTACAAACACAGACATAAGATCCATTTGTATTAAGACAGTAAGAATGTTCTGGACATGAAACTGAGTCATCAGAACATTCATCCACATCAATAGTACAGTTCTCTCCCTTCCAGCCAGGAAGACAAATGCAGGCTCCATTGACATTATCACAAGTTTTGGAATTTGCCATTTGGCAGGTGCAACTTTTATTACAGTTTATTCCATATTTTCCATCAATGCACTCTGAATTGAAATTATATTTATGAAGTTCATTATATATTGGCATTAACTAAAGAACTTTAATAAATACATTTACTTAGAAATAATGAATAAAATTTAACATTTTTGGACTTTACCATTTCAAACTAAGTAATATCCAATGAACTAAATAAAGGTTGGGAGATTTTTTCAATGGCAGATTTTAACATAACTACGTAATGTATTTTCCTTTTTTTAAGTCTATGAAACTATGAAAAATTTATTAAAAATGATGATTTATTGATTAATTTTTTATCCTCATTTACCTGTGCAAGTGATTCCATCAGCTGCCAAGTATTTACCAATGTTGCATAAACATTCAAAAGTTTTATTTTCCTTAGTTTCAACACATCCTTCAGTGCATAGGGTTGTCTTGCACAAATCTAGGTCTACAAGAAATGTTTTAATTATAATTTTCTGTAGTTTTTTTCACATCTGAATATAAGCAAATGGTAATCAAAGAATTTAAAAGGTTGCAAAAAGTTTGGTTGTAATATTTAAATAAAATAGTTCTATTAACATTTTTCTCTTTGAATATTTTAAAAGCAACTTTAAAGGCCCCTTGCCTAATGACAGTTAGCATGATTAAATAATGAGGTAATATAGGTATTAAATATTATTTGTCTGTAATTTTCTTTTAAAAATTTATAAACATGAAAGTTAATTTTTATTACTACATAAACTATGATGGTAATACTTTTTAACATGTATACAAAAGTAATTTTATATTAAAAAAAAAACAAGTTTTCACTTGAGAAAGTAGCAACATTTAATTTTGTTTAATATTTTAAAGCATTTCTGGTTATCGTAAGCTACTCTGGCCAAATCAACATACAGTTTATATTCTTTGATCTGACTTTTCCACAACTTTATACACCATTATAAAACCATTTACCATCGCATGAAGTTTTGTCCCTTGCTAGTGCTTTGCCTTTCCCACATAAACAAGTATCAATGCCATTAATTTTGGCACATTTTTCAGTGCAAGAGATTGATGTACATGGATTTTCAACTGAGAATAAAAAATATTTAAATAGAAAAATTACAGTGATCTCAAAATTTAAATAATTATATCTTGAAATTTCATGCCTCATTTATAAAATGACAAATATTATTTCATATTTTAATGAACATAATGCATGAAACACGTATGTTAATATTTCTAAAAATAAAATTCTCAATTGTTTACTAATTATACTGTTCTTTCAATAGTATATCAATTTTAGAAATGTCATAAGTGAATAAACTATAAAGTTAGCCATTCATGCTTACTAGGCATTTCACACAAAAAAATATGGCAATATTAAATTATTAAAAAGTTTTAATAAATTAAGAAAAAAAGAAACCACCAACAACTTCTTGTTGTAAGGAAATAAGTATTCTTTTTTTCAAAAACACTCTAAAATCATATTTATTATTTATTTGACAGGCCAAAAAGCTATTAATATAATGTGGATTTTCTTTACTACATTTCTTTACTACATCAATCTTACTATTTCACGATTCCTTACATTAGAAATTTTTTAACATTGATTAGTAACTCAAAAGGGAAATAATCAAACCAAACTCCAACTTCAAACGAACTAACTTACTGAAACTTGAACTTGCACCCAAAGTTAGCCCATTATGTAAAACAGAATAAAACTAACCGCCACATGAAACACCATCCAGTTGTAGGACAAGTTCATCTGTACATGAACAATGATAGCTCCCATCAGTGTTAGTGCAGATTTGGTCACACTGATGTTTCCCTAATTTGCATTCATCCACGTCTGTTAAGAATCAATATAAAAAGAATAATGTCTTAAATAAGGGGATGACTTTTTAGGTATGAATATATTTGTTTTGTCTTACATCAATAGTTAATCTTTATGAATATTTAGATAATGAGCTGCATCAAGATTAACAAAGAGTTACCTGATTTTATTATTTTTGTTATTTAAAATTATTCTCATGAATTAATGTTACAATTAATTGAGAATAATTTCATTAAAAAGACAAAATAATAAAAATGTATTAAAGAAGAGAAATAAAGGCTCAGCCCTGAGTTATTTTAAATATTTATTGAAGGGTTGTAGAATTCATCACAAATTCTTTCTTGTGTATGCCTTACTTAAAATCCCTTTAGAACAAACATAATTATTGACAGTAAAATTTGATTACAAATATATTTTTGCAACATTAAAAAAAGAATGCAAAAGAAAGAAATAGTTTGCAGTCGAAAATAATATGTTTCTTGAAGTCAGAATGGAGATTTTAAAATGTGTCTTTTAGAATTTTAAGGATTTTGAAATTTAAGATTCTTACTTTTTTAGTTTAAAATTAATATGAATACACATCCATATGTTGAGTTGGTCAATTTGAACATAGTTTTAACTAAATGTTATTTGATATTAATTTTCTGCCATTGTAATCATATTTCATGGTTTTTCCTTTAGTCATTAAAAAAAATTGAAACAACCTATACTAATTTTTACTGACTTAAATAATAAAATTCATAAAATAAAGTTTCACTTACTCCAAGAAATAAATAGGAATACCAAATATTTTAACATATATATGTATTTATATATATTACATAGAGCAATACAAATAGCTTAGTTAATGAAATATATAGGTTACCGGCAGTGTGTGAAATGCAGGCATTGCCATTGTATAGGATGCTTAGGCACTATATAGAATGCCTTGCGGTTTTAGGCAAAGTATGAAATATTTTATTTTCGTGATTAAGTTACATACATTGCCTAGGCATTTTATACATTGCCTAGGTATTATATATAATGACAAATATACTTCAGGCAAAGTTTCAAAAGAGCATAATAAAAATGTTTTTATTGGAAAAACATATTTGAAAATGAAAGATAACAATGAAACCGGAAAGCAAGGGTGTCATCGAGCTAATTGTTGTAAGGCTGGAGTGGCATTTTGAATTGTACCTAATTTTCTTTTTTCAAACAAAGACACTTCATGTTTTTGCACCTGATCTTGCACATACACCTCACGTATCCTTGACCGCTTCCTGTTGACTGAGAGATTGGAGAGGTATTTCATGGGCAGGGACGTCTTCAACTCTCAATAAATCTTTTGGACATACAGCAAACTGTGATCTTGAATACAATTGTTTCAAGATTCCTTGTGCAGTTCTAAGTGGGTAAAAGCCGTCTTCTGTCTCCATCAAAACAACTGCCAACAGATTACACGAGTCACCCCATCCCTTGTCAACGTCAAGAATAGGAACTCGCACAGTGGCTTCTAAAGGTGCAGGAGGGAATTTTTTGTCAGAGTTTATTTTCATTTTTTGGCCTGGATTTCAAGGTTTGATTAATCTTCTTTTCTAGCCTCTACAGCTTTCTTTATCTTGAAACACAAGCTGCACAAAATACCAATACTTTAACCTTCTATTTCCCCCTCTCCAGCATCCCCACAGATAACATTAACATTACAGTGACCGTTTCCGCATGTATGGGCACCGCTGCTTTCTTTTCAGCAGACACAACAAACACCAGAAGTGGAAGGCTCGTCGGTAACCATGACACATTAATCAGTTTCTTCTCCTCCATTGTTGGTTGCATTCTCTTCAGTATTCTGTATAGTAGGCTCTGTATCTTGCATCTGACGATTTGCTTCTTCCTACTGTGTTGTTTTTACACTTTCTATTATTTTTTTCTGGTTCTTCCTCAGTCTGTATGTCTTGCAAAACTTCAGGGGGTAAGGAAGACGTTGCGAGGCCCACTTTAGCTTTGCAATCAAACAGAGCTTCATAAGGCGTTCTCTTAATCCCAGAATGAAAGGCCCTGTTCTTCAAAAGTTGGATGAATCCTAATCCCTCAGTCCTGTGGTCAGTTTTTTCATCTTGCATCCAAGCACATAGCATGTTTTCGATGTCTTGCTTAGCTCTTTCAACACTGCCCTGACTGTGTGAGTGGCGCGGTTTACCATGGACCATCTTCAACTTGGGCCAGTACTCCTTTAGGCTGTTTACCACATTGTTCGTAAATTCCCGGCCATTATCGGACTGTAGAATTGATGGAGCTCCAAGCAACGTAAATATTTCCACAAGAGTGTAGGCTATCTCTTCCACATTCTTTGATGTTAGAGCCCTCACAACCAAAAACTATGTGAGATGATCTTGGTACACCCATATAAATTTATATTCCCTGTCAGGATGGGACTGAAGATCGATAAGATCGACCTGACCACGGCAGTTGAATTCAGAAAAAATCATGTGCTTCGCCACAACACCCTTTTTGACATGTTTTTTTCTTCTGGAACAGCTCACAAAGGTGGAAGTAAAGGTCAATATCATAATGTGTAATGTTCTTAAACTTGTATGAAAGTTCTTTAAACATTCTGTCACTTCCTCCATGTCTCACGCCCAAATGAGCTTTGTGAAGTACATCAAATAATTCAGAATCAGTGACATAGAACTGAATAGCACTGTCACCTTCTTTAACAGGATAAATCAAATTACTTTTGTTCTCTACCGCAATTACATCATAGCGTTTCAGCAGCCGAGTTGTCATCCGAGCCATTTTCACATCATCCACCAATTTTTGGTAACTATTTTCCTTGAGAGAAATGCAGTATTGGCTCGTAAAGTTCATCGTAGAACCGCCGTTGCATGTAAACATACCATGATTCCTGATCTGAAGCTACAATCTGATCTTCCAACATCTCAGCAGCCATCTTGAAACACTAGGTGAAGCGTCTTTGGCGGGAGTATGAAACACTTGTTTCGCGATCGCCACGCCACCACCAAAGCAAAGAATCAAACATTAATGGCGGGGTATTCTATTTATTGCTGGGTCGCTCTTCAATATTGTATAGAACGCCTAGGAAATGTGTGAAATTTAAACCATTTCATACTTTGCCTACAATTTTTAGGCATTATATATAATTACTAGGCATTCTATATAATGCCAGATTTAACACATTGCCGGTAACATTTATATTATTAAATTATCTTTAAAGAATACAAAGCAAAATATTTTTTTTTAATGGAAAAAATCAACACTAAGATATATGTAATTCTTTAAATATTTTATGTAATTCTTTAATTTGAATATTTAAGAAAAAATATGAAATAAATTTCCAAAATACAATTAGATAATTACATTATCAAAATAGAAAAAATTTCTTTACCTAGACAAGTATTGCTAGTGGTGTTGAAAGTGAAGCCAGAATAGCAGGAACATCTATAGGAACCTTCTATGTTTGTGCATATTTGAGAACAATCATTATTTTTATAGCATTCATTGATATCTGAGAAAGAAACAAGTTAGAATTTTAAAAAAAATATGTGTTAATTTAATTTAATTAGTTCAATTAATTAACAAATAAATACTATTTCAATTCAGCAAGAAAAAAAAAGTAAAAAACCTACCAAGACAGTGACCAAAACCATCATACTCATAGCCAGACTGACATTCACATTTGGCACTCCCATGTAAGTTGATACAAACTTCCCTCTCCTTACAGATCAAAGCTCCACTGGTGCATTCATTGATGTCAATGTTGCAGTTATCTCCTGATTGATGTTAAAAAATGTTAAATGTAGTTTTGGTGTTTCCAGATAAAACCTGTCAAATGGGATAGATCATTCAAAATCAAATTATAAGCTACTACCAAGTCACTAAATAAAATTTTTAGAATCTTTTCAAACTGACCTGTATATCCAGACTTACATACACAACCCTTGACATGATCACATCTCTCAGCTCCTATTCCACAGGTACAGTTATGGGAACATCCAACACTCCATGTGTCTCCAGAACATGCTTAAAAAAAAAATGTTGGTCTACTCTAACTTGAAAAAGTAATCCTAACAGAGTTTTGATATTTCATTTTTTTAATTAAAATTACAAAAATGTATATTTTTTGTCTTTTATTGTTCGATTTTATGTTGAAGGACATAAATTACTTTATCAGGGAAAAGTAGGAAATAGAACTAAAGAGACATCAGAAAATTCAAGTATAAATAAAAACCAACCCAGACAATTTCGACCATTGTTATCCAGGTTGAAACCAGCAGGACAAGAACAAGTGTAGCCACCATTTGTGTTATTACATCCAGGTTTGTAGGAACAGCTGTTATTCTCTGGTGAGGCGCACTCATTGATATCTGTTAAAATAGGAAACAAATATATTATCATTATGATTTTACATTAAGTATAGTATGCCATTATAATTGTTATTGTTGCCCAAAATGTCGTTTAATTCTTTTGAAAAATTCTTGCTTTATTGAGAAAGCTAAATTTTAAATAAACTTTAAAATAATGATTGTTTGTTTTTACCCTTTAATTTAAATGATATGGCCTAGAAACAAGAAATTCAAGTAAGCAAATAGTAGTATATTAAGTAATATTAAAAAAATAAAAAATTTGCCAACCAATTTTAAAAATATTTTTTTGACAGGTTTTCTTTAATTTTTTTCTCTAAATTACTACACTAACTTCTTTCAAAATTTAACTGCATTAAATTTTAAATTTTATTTCTCTGGCTTCTTTAAAACATTCACTGTATTAGGAACCTATAATCATTTAATAAAGTGTATATTATATAATTTTGAATAAGGCGGTAAAAATATACTTACCTACACAAGTTACATTTCCATTTTGAACTAAGCAGTTATATCCCCGTGGACAAATACAGACTGGCTTATCCTTGGCATCCAAAGTACATCCATTTGCACATTTCATATTGGATGCTCTACAAAGGTCTTGCACTGTAAAACATTACGTCATATGCCAATGTTAGCCTAAATAAAAAATTCTTATAATGCTCTCTGAATAAAGTATGTTATAATATGTAATACATGGCATCCTTCTATCTTCATGACATGATGGAGTAGCTATGGACACTTCATCAGATGGCTTACTAGGCTGATCCTGGAATGGCAGTCTCTACTGTATTTCTTGCAGGAGAACTTTGACTCCTGGTTAAATTTGTCCTTCCCCAATCCTCTTTTTGTTATGAGGGCTTTGTTTCACACATCTTCTCCCTGTCTGAGTCCTTCACTCACTACGTTTCCCCAGTTGGAATGGAGCTGAGCAATGATCTCCCATTCATTGATTTCTATGTTGATTTTCATGTTGGTTTCCATCATGCTCCTTTTGCAATCATCCTTTAATCACAGCCACAGCCATCAAATAAGTCTTGCCCCTTCATGACATCTCTCCATAAAGCTGATCCTTTAGAATATGGCCTTCCTTAACTCTATTTAAATGGCCTAACCAGCAAAGGCACCTCTTGCTAAGCTAAGAGTGGAAAATATGTTAAACATTTTTGCATGTTCCAAACCCCTTTGTTAGGCACCTTGTCCTGTCATCAAATGCGTAAAATGCAAAGCATACATCTTTGATTAAAGCTGTTGCATTTATGCTCATACCTGTGGTCCATACTTCAATGCCCTATTTGAGCGTGTTAAGGACACATGCATGATGGCGGCTTAGTTTAATACTATCAGTAAGTTTATGCAGACCTGTTTACTCTTACGATTTTGGCGTACAATGTACGATTTTGAGGTGTATAGATTGTATATACTGTATGTTTTTTTTTACTATGAATATAACGTATTAAATGACTTTGTGATGGTATTGTACGATTTTAAGAGTTTGAGGGTAAACAGGTCTGGTTTATGCCACACCAAGCCTTATATATATATATATATTTAGCCATATTTTTATAAATATCCTAGATTTTTTTCAATGTGGAAAATGAACCAATGTTAAACGTCTGCCATCATATACTTAACTGTTAATGATTGGAATAAAATTGTAATGATAAATGGACAACTTTTAAATTAATATGTTTACTAAGTATTTCATTAAAATAATAAAATATATATTATAACATTTTTAGACTTACCATTAATACAGTTTTGTCTGTTGTCAGCCAGGAGGTAGCCAGCCTCACATTCACAGTTGTAGCCCCCATCAACATTATGACATAAATGTTGACAATTGTCAATTTGTTGGGTGCATTCATCAATATCTGTAGTTAATTAAAATAAATTTAGAGACTAAACTAAAATGGTTTTCAAATCCAAAGAAAAACTGGTGATTGTCCAACGTGGAACAAGATTTTATAAATTCCAAATAATGAGATAATTTTTAATAGTTTTTTTAAACAAAAATGTGTTAATATTGAATTGGCCTTTGAGAAATAAACATTAAAGTAAAAGGACAATCAGATCTAAATGAATGCCAGTTAAATATGTTTTCTAACAATTTGCTTTTTCCTTTTCTTTTCTTTTAGTTTTCTAGTTTCTTACTGTCTGCTGAAAAAGGCATCTAGCCAAAGCATCCATTTGACTATCCTGTCTTTTTATTTCAAGCCTTAACTTGTGTATTCCACTATATTATACTTCACAAGGCTTGAACACTGTCCATCTAATACATTATCCTTTATAGTTAAATTGTATTTTAATATTCTCTTGTTGGAGTCAACTTTTCTATTGCTTAATGCCAAAGCCTCACTTAATTTACTCTACCATTTAATATCTTTAAAATGTAGAGCACTGGTGACCCTGATTTGAGTGCAATTTGATTAAATAATTTTATTGTTTTATTCACATGCACACTTACCTTTACAGATAGATTTGTTATCTCTGGCATAGCCATGTTTACACTCACACCTGTAGCTACCAACAGTATTGATACAAACTTCTGTTTGTAAGTTACATGTCCCATTGGTTAGAAAGCTAAAACACTCATCAACATCTAAAGAGAGATTTAGATATTATGCAAAAATGTAATTTCAAAATAAATTTGAGATTAATTCATGTTTAATAATGAAATTTTCTAAAATAATAGGACTAATAATAGCCTACTGTTACGTTAAATGTTAATTTTTTTTCTTCTTGCATATTTTTTTTTTTCTTTAATATGCATACTTTTTGTATTGTTTAGAATTATCAATAAGTAATTCGCATTATTTAAAAATATCATACATTTTAAAGTTTGAAGTAAATAAAAGTTGAAGAAAGCAATTTTTTAGTTAAATAAAATAAAAGAAATAATACCCATTCTACCATTCTTTCATAAACTGAAAAACTTGCTTACTACAAAATTATTATTTTAAATTGAAAATAATTTTTTTAAAAATGTAAATAATTAGTTTATTACTTATAATTATAAAATAAATTGCTGTCGAAGCTACACACCTTTGCAGACACCTCCTTCCATGATATAGCCTATTGGACATAAACAAGTAAATGATCCATTTGTGTTCTCACAAAGTTGCCCTTCAGGACAGGCATCTGGTGTGGCACATTCATCAACATCTATGTCACAGTTGACCCCTGTCCAGTTGACATCACAAACACATCCTTTCACTGTGTTACATGATCCTCTGCCATTACAGTCACAGGTTTGTTTGCAGTTATCTCCATAAAAGGGAACTTCACAAGCTGAAATGGAAAAATTATATAGAATGTAATCTTCACTGCTTAACTTGAAAAAACAAACATGAATCCTTACAAACTAGGCTTGTGATAGGCCAGGTTCAGAATAATTACTTTAAAATATCTGAAGAAAAAAAGCACATTAAAAAGAATGTGTCACTAATTCTAGTAATCAGAGAAGATCCTTCTTTCTCCCAGAGCAAATGGAAAAGACATCTAGGCCTAAAGGAGTGAAAATGCAAAAAAGATTAAAATAATTAAGTAGAAATAATAAGCAACACATACCTTTACAAGAAACTCTGTCAGACTCCATCATGTAACCAGGGTAACAGTAACAATTAAAGTGTCCTTCAGTATTGTTACAACCCTGGCTGCATGGCATGCTATCAAGTTTACACTCATCAATGTCTGTTAAGATAAGTAATTTATATAAATTATATCTTACATCTGAAAAGGGCATTTTCAGATAATTATTGTATTTGTGATTTTAGCTTATGAGAGATGAGCTAATATAAGTTCTAGAATACTTAATTGCTAGTTAAAAGGCAGGAAATTATCAATTTAAATTGTACGTTTAAGGCACAATCAATCAATTGCTTATGTAGAAATAAGACTCTGCATTTTTATTTTACAGAAATATATTTGCGATTGACTCGTCAGTTAGTGTCTATTTAATATTTCAATTAGTATGCTTTCATATCTATATTTGATTAAGTCACTCCATTAGTATGGCCTTATTTTGTATTAAGTTGCAGAGCTATTTAAAATGAGGAACTTAAAACAAAATCTAGCTAATCTATAATGTTCAGTTAAACAAATTGTTTAAAAAATGTAATACCTTTACATTCAACATCATTTTGTTCATCTGGCAGATATCCCTTATCACATGTGCAGCTTGCAGAGTTATTTATCTTATTAAATATACAAGTGTGTTGACACTGGGAACATTTCTGTAATCCAGAAACTAAAACAAAAGAATATATGAAAACAATAAATAACATATTGATGAAAAAATATGAGTGAAATTTGAAACAACCCTCAAACTGTGGCATGCATCGTTCTGTGGTGTGGAGCTTTGCAGAGCTTTTTGAGTGCCTTTTGAAATTGCATTAACTGACATAGAAATATTGATACAAGGCCACAATAATTGTATATTTTTAAAAAGGTAAATAGATGGGGATAAAGTTGGCTATATTGCCCACCCCATACAATTTTTTTTTTTAAGTGTCCTTGACCTTGGAGTGCTCAAGAAAATAAAAATCAACAAAATGTCTTGTTTTCAAGTGCTCATAACATCATTAATTTTTATAGATACACTTAATACACTAATCTAAATGTTGTAGCCAATTCATTAATCTTTCAGAAAATGTATAGTTAGCTAAGGTTTTGATTACAAATAAACCTGAAAGCAATTTTAGTAATTTTAGGTCATTTATATAAAAAACTGGGACCACAGCTAAAACCACATACAAAATTCAAAGTCTCAGGCAAAATAGTTATTATTGACTAGTATACATTTAAAAAGGAATCATGGTACTGATTTGGGTTGTTAAACTATAAAATTTATTAGTTCTGATCTATAATCTGTAGCTTCTGTGATTAAATTCAGTCAGTCCTTGCCCAAACCTCTGGGCCTGGCTCGAAGTCTAACAGTAGCTTCAGTAGGCCTATTTCAGTATCACTAAGAATAGTATCAGATTCATGAAAAGAAGAATCTGAAGTGAGATGTTATAGGGAACTTTAAAATCGTCATCAGTATCACTTAAATCCTCTCCTAACAATCTTTAAAAAATATTTATATTAGTTCTCAGACTGAAGGCCCCGGCCATAGCATCTGCCATTTTAGCTTTAAAAAAAAACAGCGATATAAAATTCTGATTAAAAAGTAACTATTATTAAGTTATCAAGAAACAGCTTGACCCGGAAGTTGATTTAATTATTAATAAAAAGAAGTGGCTGTGATTTCAGTTAAATATTGGATTGGAAGTTGCTATTGGACCATGATTGTTATCGGCCGATTTTTTCAGCCGACCACAGTTTGAGGGTTAATCAAATATTATTGAATCTTATTTACTTTCATGTGCTAACTTAAAAATTACATTTATATAGTTTTAAAGAACTAAAAAAATTTCTATTCATTCATCATCTAATATAAAAGAAAAAATCTATAATTTGCAATTTAAAAACCAAAACATAATGGTTTTTTTATCAATCAATTTCTTGAAATTAAATATCAATCAGTGACAAAAATTGATATAAATCTCAATTCTGTCACTAACTAGTTAATAATTCAATATAAATTACTTCAGTTGTACATCGGAAAAGTTATAACTTATTTATCTCTCTAAAAATTGTTTTAAAATTAACAATGATTTTTATAACTATTGTATTATGTAATTATAAAAATGTTTTTGAGAACAGTCACTACTTGGTAGTTCACAATTGTAGCCATTAGATTTGAGCAAATAGCCTTCAAAACAGGAACAGTTGTAGCTGCCTTCTGTGTTTTTACATTTGTGTTGACATCGTGCTGTCTGTTCTTCACATTCATTTATGTCTGAAACAAGATAAATCATTCAAATTTTGTAATAACATTTTCATAATAAAAAAAAATATCAAACCTGGAAAAGAGGATCTTTATTTTTGAAGCAATTATTAATTGGTAATAAATTCAACTCAAATACAGTAATAAAATATGTTTACATTACCATTGCAAGTTTTCCTGTCAGACAGATCAAGTCTATAACCATCTCTACAGCTACACTGGTAGGACCCAATGGTATTGGTACAATTGTGTTGACACCCATTGTTTTTGTTTGTACATTCATCAATATCTGTGACATTAAATTAGATTTGATATAACAAGATATTTCCCATATTCTGCTGTTGAATGGAACATGTCCTTATAGTTACTGGATAAAAATGATAAATGAGATTAGCTATATTATTTCAGTTTTTAGATATATAATTGTTTAACGTTCTGGATTAGTAAGATTATTTTGATATTAAAAGCTAATATTCAGTCCAACCCCAAGTTGGCTATCATTTGTGAACTTAGCTGGTTGACTTGTTATATTCAAAGAATTGTTTATCCCAAAAATATCTTTCATACTTTTAAAAGGCACAACATGCAATGTTAACATTGCACCACATTAAAGACAAGATGAATCATAAAAAGAAAATACTGTGCTATATTTGATTCATAAGTAATTAAATTTTCACACTAAAAGGACTCTGCTCACCAAAACAATTTTCAGTAGCATTGGATCTATTATACCCATCAGGACAATTTCCACACAAATATCCTGTGAGATTATTTCCTTGCTGAGCTGCTGTCAGGTCTGTACATTCCTGTCCTACAGAACATGGTTTACTTGCGCAAGCGTCCAACTCTAACTCACAGTCAGCACCTATCAATTAGTAAACATTCTTCAAAGTAGTTATGAGTTAACATTGTAATTGAATATAAATAGAAAAATATATATTTCATGCACAATAACAAACACGCTCTCTGATTAAATTTTTTTTGGCAAATGCTCTTTGGCCTGAAAGCCACAGTGGAAAAGGTTCAAGGCTACATGAATTAATCTATGTGACAAAACTGTTCCTTGTTACAGAGAAAGACACAATCATAATTAATATTTTGCATTTTACATACCGGTTGGGTCATAAATATTTCATTAAAAAAATATAATCACTGAGTTACTGATTCCACCTAAACTTTTAAAAATAAATTTATAATTGATGTTTAACACTACCCGCAAAGTTTTCACGGGGTAACATTACCTGTATAGGCTGGGTAACAGCTACATTTAAAGATCTGAAAATATCCATTAAAATATTCAATGTCTCTTGTGGTGTTTGTGCACCTTCCATGTCCATTACAGCTAGTACAAACAGCAATGTATACATACACTATAGGGCTGTAAGCACCTTTGGAGTCTTTAGCTCTTAGTCTATGGATAAAGAAGTTACAATAAACATTTACAAAAATAAAATTAAACAGACATTTCTTTTATTTTTAATGTTATAAGAAATATTCTTCTCTTTCAAAAGTAACTACAATGCCATGGTCAAGTACAACATTTTCAATAGCACATTACTAAAATTTGAATAGTTTCTTCCCTTCAATAAGCTATAGATTTAAATACCGGTATAGAGTTTAAATTTCTCATGCCCGGTACTTATATTTTCACTGTGTTACAGAAATGCCAGGCTTTTCTATGTCCTGCTCCCTTCCCATATAAGCAGAGCAAATATTTTACCTTCAAGCACAACTATATAAATGGGCTGAAAGAGTGAAAATAAATAAGTGTCTAACAGATCCATTTTATTTATTATCACCCCTCATTTCAATATTTAAGTTTTGAAATTTTTTACATAAGAACTTTGGCATAAAACTTTCTTGAGTGAAATTAAGAATGTTATGAGGAAAACCATATATAATTTTTAACCCCAACACAACTGTCCATACTGATACTGCCTACATTAAGTTATATTTATTTATTTATGCAAATTATTGACTGGAAAATAGGGAAAAGTCATAAAACAGTTTTAGATGTTGAATTCAAATTTTAATATAAAGCCAAATAAAGCCAAGTAAATTAAAGAATGAACCTGGAAAGTGAGTTTTCCTGAATTAAGTTTTAATAAATAGGAGCTTACTACTAAAGTAAACTAATAAATTATTAATGATTTTATGACTTGGTCTGGTGTAATTGTTTAAAATTAGCATCAATTTTAGAAATTAAAAATGCTGTTGTGATCTGAGTTAGATAAAGACACACAATTTTTTAGACATCCCTGTAAAAAAAAAATATATTTAAGTCTAGCATTGATTTTTTAAGAATTTAAAATCATTTTATGCTTAAACTATTTTTCAAAGCTACATTTTCTGTTGAAGTTAATAGTTTTCAGTCATAAGCAACATGTTTTTTCAATAAAACACTTAAAAAAAGAATTCACACACACACACACAAGATATATTATCAATTAAAGCTTTTTCTATGAATGAAAAAAAAAACATGTTTACTTTACAATCGTTGATAAGTATGAGTTGTATTAACACTTCGCACAGCAGAGCAAAAAAGAAACATCACTTTAGCTAATATATGGATAAATTAAATGTGTGCCAGACAATAGCATTATTTTTTAACTAATACACCTATTATGAGACCTATGATAAATATTAGGCTTCTACTTGAAATGTTAACCAATTCGTTTTTTTAAGAATTGTTCCCAATGTACTCCATTTGTTAATAAATTAGAAAATTACGTTCCAATAAATTTGTAAAAATATGAAATACATTAAAAAAATTTTCTATTAAATTCTATGAGTGGTGTAAACAATTTCACTATAAACAATTGTATTATGTGCATCACTCACCCCAGTTTCATAGGCAAACTGGAATCAGCCGTGTAAATGATACTCTTATTTTTCACAAACACTCCCGTAGGCTTATCTAGAATCTCAAGATAGACCGAATCACCATCATCATCTTGTGTCAAAACTTCAAGTGTGTTTTGAACTCTTTCATTGACAACCCACTGGTCAAATGCATTTAAATCTTCATTCTTCAGTGACAATGTTGGTGGATTATTGTCTATGAAAGGAGAATGTGATTTAGAAAAACAACATAAAATATAACTTGATGCATGCCTACATTAGAACTAAATAATGGGACCCTTTTAACTAAGCCGATAAATATATAATTTGTACATAATAGTTGCTGGTATTTTTTTTTGTTTAAAAAACTATGATTGCCAAAAAAAATTTATAAAATGAATAATATTTTCTGCATCTATAAACATCTAATTTATATTAGGCAACTTAGTTTGATTGAAAAATAAACAGATGTTATTTTAAACTAAAAAGCCAATCAATATTTTGTTGGTTTTTGTTGAAAGACTACCAATGATTTTATTTCACATTTGAAAATGCAAACCCCTACTACATTCATAGGAGCCAGAATGATCGATACATTGATTCTGAGCCCTCAAGATATAGATGAAGAATTTTCTTGCTAATGTGATTATGGAGATTTTGCATTTGGATCTTGGAGCCTTAAATAAGCCATAAAAAGGTATTCACTTTTAGTTAAGAAGCTAGTGTCACTTTCATTGAAATCATGATGCAATAAAACAGAACCAGATGATTAATTATTCTACATACAATTTTTAGCTTCTCAAGAAATATTTTTTTTTAAAGAGAGTTTTTTTTTAAGGGTTCCCCAAGAAATAATGCAATACTGGGGTAGTCCCTTCAAAGTCTGCACCTGCAGACCTTGTGGCTCTCTGATTTGTTCTACCAATCTTTCTGAACCTCACCAGTCAAAAGGAGAAATATCATGTTCCTCCCATGGGTTTGGAAACATGACGGGAAAAGAAAAGACGCTACACCTTGGCCTTAGCAAAAAGACTAAGAAGTGATAAGATTTTTTTTGGGGGGTTGGGGGTCTTATTAATTTGTTCTGTTTTTTCATTTGTTATGAAGGGTTCCACCAGAAGTACTGCAATACTAAAATCGTCCCTCTTCAAAGGTTCAGGTCTCCTGGCCTTGGGGTTCTCTAATTTGTGCTACTGATCAGCCTGTTCAGACACGAAGTAAAATATCACATCTTAGCCAAAAGGCCGATAAGTGATCAGAATTTTTCCTCCAAAAGTAATACAATACTGGGGTAGTCCCTTTTCAAAGTTTGCCCTTGTGGTTCTCTCGGACTAGCGGTTCTCTCGGACTTGCCACTCTCTCATTGGCACCTTCTTTTTGTCCCAACCCGGGCTGAAAACCAACCCAGATATTACATACCTCCCACAGATTTGGTTACCTGGTGGTATAAGAACAGACACCACATCCTGATCTTAGCAAAAAGCCAAGAAGCTATCAGATTTTTTCTAGGCTTATTCAGCTAACCTCTTACTTTTTATTAAAATTAAATGTTTGAAAATAAGTATTATAAAGTATGTAATCTTTTAAAAAATATATTGAAAACTTACTTAAATTTGTCACAAGAGATTTCAATTTGAGGAAAGATTCATTAGTGCTTAGAGCAAATTCTTCACTTCCAGTTACTATGTAATCAAAGACACAAGCTGGGCTATTAATGCCACAGTAGTTTTCTGCCTCAATAACCATGTAAGGGGGAGCCTCATTTCCAAATACAGGAACAAAGTCTGAGTGCTGATAAGTGCTGGAGTTCTCTCTCTTTCCATACATGAAAACAGTGTTGTCTGAAGTTACTTTCCCTATAAAACATGTTCAAAAAACTAAATTGTTATCAATGTTTACAATAAAGTAGGCCTAGTCCCAAAGGGAATATTTTTTAATAATATTTTTTATTTTTAAAATTTTGATTCATAGCTATAAAAGCACAAAAATTATGTGTTTTTATTCATTCATTTCTCACTTTAATTATTTCTAAAATTAAATTATACATGGCCTACATTTTTGTCCAAAAGAGTAAAATATATCTCTCTCTGACATATTGCTTGGCAGGATAACTCCATTAGGAAGGGTAAATTCATCTGATTTTTCCAGGTTGAAATTCCCTAATAGACCCAAAGTTTTATTTTGCAGGTTCTTGTCAATTTCAAACTCTATATTCAAGCTTTTCACTGCAACATATATTTTTATAGTAACACCTGGGGAAATAAGAATGTATGTAAAGAATTAAAGATAAAATTGTGGGGTATAATATATAGTTCTAATGTCAATAATTTTTAATGATACATTGATAATGTATAAGTCATAAAATATGTTCAAAGCTAGCTGTAAAATTTGAAAATCAAAATGAAAAAAATTGAAGTACCTGTGTTGAAACAATAAACACTAAATAGAAGGCTACTTACCACATGGGAATATTGCGATTACAAATGTCCTATTAGAACTGTCTTTCCTCATGACACTTATCTGGTCAAGTTCTGTATTAAACTCTTCATGATTGTAAAAATCATTGGTGATATCCAAATCATTCACATAGATGACAAGTGCTAAAGAAAAATAAGAAATTACAAAAAAATTGTAAAATTTGTTTAATATTTCAAGAAACACATTTTTATTTTTAGAATATCTTATATAATGAAACTAAGATTTACGTTTGTAGCATAAAATAAATGATAATGCCAACATCCTAAAATTAAAATAATTATAACTAATTAAATATAATCTACCATGAAATATCTTTTAACATTCATTAACAAATATCATGACCTATCAATAAAATATACTTTATTTGCTTTTTTTGTTTTTTAAATGGTTAACTAACTTATATTGTTGGTTGCCAGTTCAACTTGAAATTTAGCATAATCCCCTTCTTTGGCAGCAAATGCAATAAACACAGTAGCATTGCTTAGCGTTCCATTGACGCCCTCAATTCTTCTTGTTCTACACTGATGTTGAAAAAAATTGATATGATATTTTAATTGAGTAATAAATTAATTTAGCATTTCTTATAAACTTGAAAACATAAAACTTTAAACTTAAAACTATTGTATAAACAATCGCAAAATAATATCACACCAAATTAATATATGAAGGGTAAAGAAAGAACATTATAGAACAGCACATATTAAATTTTAAAGCTTTAAAAAAAAATGAGAAGAAGAAAATAACCTGAAGCATGAAATTTTGGGACTTTATTTCCATCAAGATGTATTCACCCCATACATTCAATGGATAAGTCACTCCATCCAATGTAGTAATGTGAGGCTCACCAAAAGCAGAAGCTGTTGATGAATTGAAGTTTAAAGTATAACAAAGAGAAAATAACTTGGACATTAAATATTCTTTTAACGTACATTTAAAAGTTCACAACTGAATACTATTATTAAACTTTTTGATAAAACTTTTTTGATTGAAATTGAAGTCATTTTTATTAGTTCTTGATTTAAAAATTAATGCATTTTACATTCTACAAATGCAATCATGCAAGGTTTTTATTCTACAAAATATTGAATGAAGACCTGTAGGCCTAACAATAAGAAATGAAACATTTAAAAGTAATTTTATTCTTTTTCCAAGTACTCATAAACCACAAGAATTGAATTCAAAATGTATGTAGGCCTAGGTATGTTCTAGAAATATAAATTTTCTTACCAGGAACAAAAACAACAAAGTTACTGCAACCCATATCAGGAAATATTTTATAAAATCTGTCACACAAATTCTTATTTGACATTGTGCAGCAAGTTTTATGAGCCTCTATATTTTCACGAGCCTCATAATTATTGAAATAATACAAGGACCAGGGATCATTGATAAGAACATGTCCAGAGTTGGGTACATATGATGCTTCTCTCATTGTTTGTTCCACATCTCTCCAGTCACTTGGATTGTGCGGTTTTTCTCTTTTATAGCAACACAGCTGAAATGAATTAATGAAAACAATAAAGTAATTTTTAGAAAAATGAAAATTGTGTAAATTTCTTCTCATCATATGTTGCAAAATGTATTAGATGAAGGCCGAAATTAGAGTATCATCATAAAATTAATCAATATTATTTATTAAATGTAATCTAGAGAAATGTCAGACATGAAACCTAAAGAAAAATTGAATCTTAAAGCAGGCCTACACAACATACAGCCCACGGGCCACATGCGGCCCGCAAGCACCCACTTTGCGGCCCACAAAGCAACAAAATATTATTTATTCTTATTATTTTCTTAATAGCTCCTCCCCCCCCCCACCACATGGTCCTATTTTCTTTTGGTCCGCACAGGTCCTGTCCTATTTTCTTTTGGCCCGTACAAGTTTTTCATAAAGTATTACGGTCTGCCTTACATTGTGAGTTGTGCAGGGCTGGCTTAGAGGCTAGGATAAACATAATATAATTATAATCATTTCAAAAGTGCAAAGAATAACACAATGGAAAATAGAATCCATTTCAATATAAGAATTACAAAATGGAAAACACTTTTATGTAAGAATAGCACAATGTAATCCAATTATATAATTTAGTAATTTCAACCTAGTTATCATGATAATTTAAACTTCACAGAAATTTTCTTACAAATATATTTTCTATTGTTAAAAACATTTGCATTCTAGATTTTAGTTGCCATAATATAAAGAAAAAAGTAACTTTACAAAAAATAACATGAAGTATCAGATAAATGAAACGTTTTTAAATTGTAGGCCTTTATTGAAAATATTCTGTCAAATTTTCATGAATGAGTGCAACTAATTTAAAAAAAATTAAAATGTCTGATTCAGAAGCAGAAATAAATGGCTATCAAAATTAATTACTTTATTTCTTATGTTGCTTGCAAGTAGTCTGTTTTTGGCAATGTGGCTGATGGCATAACACTCAACATCATTTTTCTCTCCACGGGTTTCATAAAGCTGCCACTGTGACCCAAGTCTTTCCATTGTGCATGGACACCCATAAAGTGTTCTCTTATCATTTTCATAAACAGGGTTAGACAACAGGTTAATTTTACTGCATGTGTAGCTGTGACATTTTTGTAATGAACTGCTGGAGCTTCCAGTTTTGAAAGTAAAGACACCATCAAAACCTGAAGTAAAAATACAAAGCACCAATTATTGTCTGATAAAAATAGAACAACTCAAATTTGTTTCCCAAAATATACACTCCACTGATAAGTAGTGCTCAAATTTAAAAAAAAAATTGTAGTAAGTTCAAAGTACACGTTTTCATTTCCCCTTAAAACATGAAAATTATAGCTGCGAGTACTTTAATCAATATAAATCCACAATAGAAAAAAATGAAAACTTAATATAAACTACTTGCAAAATATATTTGTATTTTTAATTCATATAGAAAAAAAACACTACAATTTTATTAAAACTAGCAACTAATTAACGAATCAAACATTTATATAAGCTTTATTTAAAAAATAACACCTGTGTTTCCTTTCATTTTATCTAGTCTACTGGCCAGCACTGTGTTGGTGAAAGGAAGGTTATTTCCAGTAAATCCAATATTTATGAGCCTTCCAACAATGTAAGGCCAGTTCATCTTGCCTTGTTGGTACATAAAGATTACATAGGATGTCTGTTCTCCTATTAGTAAAGCAATATTAAATTGTATAAATAATTATTGTTTCCAAATATTAACATTTGCTAAGGTCCATACAAATATATTATTCTTGACCCTTTAAAACAAGTCCCAGAGTTTTAAAGCAAGACTAGGTTTATTTTGTTTCCAAAATTCTGAATAAATTATAATAATCTGACTTACTTATTTTTTGGATCAAGGAAGTAACTTAAGTTATGGTTTTATTGATATTAAATGTGGTAAATACGGCCAAATTGTATGGATGGACGAAGTATAATTCTAGATTACTTTCTTGCATATCCTGTCCATTTTGTGACTCTTTCTTCCAGCCACTTATAAATACTGCTTGGAATGTGCTGTTCTCTGTGCCCTGCCATGAAATATAATAGAGAAAAAATACATTTTATTATTTGATACTGCCTTATTAAATATATTTTGATTTTTAGTAGTTTCGAGTAAGCATTTTTTTAGTGGAGAAGGAAAACCTATAAAAAAAAATTATGATTAACAGTGAGTTTTACATTTTATCCCTAGGACAAAATAGAAATTCGGTCATTAACTTTTAGTAATTTGAAATAAATTAATGATAGTTTTATTAATTTCTATTTTTTAAAATAAAATGAACTTACATAAATATGCTGGACATCCACCCATGTCAATACTAACACTTTTTCCACAGTGAAACCAATAAAACCATAATATTTTAATAAATCCTGACTAGCACGAGTCATCACTTTGATCCTATTCTGGGACATTGAATCATCATTTGTTCCATCATAAGCAGCCTGGCCACATTTTTCATAGAGATGGTAATTTACATGACCTGGAGGAAATTGAACAAAAAATCTTGTTGATACAAAGAAATAAAATTACAATTAAATGTGGCTTTTACTAATATTTCAACTATCTATTAGTAGACTAAAAAAGGATACCAATGATGTGATTTAAATAAAATAACTATGATTTTTAGAACTTATATAATAACTTATTGCTTTCTTCTAGTCTAAACAGTTTATTTTCAGCATTGCCGTTTTGTTGATCGATCTTGATTTTTCCAAGTGATGAATGTAGGGTTGAGGGTATTATTTGAAAAAAAAGGATTATTAATTTTCTACCCTCACATGGGGAAATCTCTACCCTCAAATGGGGAAACCTATATCCCCACATGGTTATTATGTACCATTTGACATTGTAGCTTCAAACATAATAATATTTAACAAAATTATCTTGACCTGAATTCGGTTTAGTATCAGTCCAGTATGGTGCAACAATGTTCCATTTTTGAGAAAATGCAAGATTGAGATTGGGACTAGCAGAGATAGCTATACTTTCATCACCAAAAACAAACAGCCCATTGCTCATAACCTGAAAAAATGTAAGGGTGATTTTTTTAAAGCTGTATTGAATTAGTTTATTGGTCAGTAAATGATCAGCAGGCCTACTTTTTAAATTAAGTCAACAAAAAAACTGAATGGGTTGTCTTCTAATACACTTTTTCAAATTTTAGTATGTTAAGTGCTACCCCCTCCCCCCTTTTTTTTTTCCAGCCCAGTTTTTTTATAAGGGTATATTTTCTAATTGAATACAAAAATAAAGATTCTTACATGTTAAAATTTCATGATTGTTTTCATGTTTTTGTTGGGGAGAGCAGCTTGTTGGGCCTATACATTATTTTTAATTAATAATTTTGAATGACATGAACAGGATTTATATTTGAGATTCTCTAAATATTTAACAAAAATTATATAGTGTTTCTGTTTTCTTAATTTATGAACTAAAATTAAATTAAACTAGTATCATGATTTTTTAAAAATAAAAACAGAACAAATCTAAATATGTTAAATTTTTAAATAGCCAAAGTGTTGTGATTTGATAAGATAAAATTCTTTTATTGATCCAAATAAATGGAAATGTTTTTTGATTGCATTATACATTTTCAGCATATAAATAAAACAATTTGAAGACAAGACATTTATAATAAATTATCTCAAAAAGCCATTCAGTGAGTTCTCTTAGCCAAATCGGGGACTTATTAGATGTCATGAAGATGTGAGACTTCAGAGGGAGCACGCCGGTAAATTTGTACAGATTGGTGAACAAAAGAATTTTTAAATCTTTCAGTCCCTGATGGAAAGAATTCGTCCTGAGCGGCCAGATCCTAAGTGTTTGTGATGAAGAGGGTGGGATGTATCATCCAAAATGTGTTTAGTTTTACAAAAACATCTTTCTTCAAATAGTTCTTCAAGTGAAGGATGTTTAGTTTGTGTTATGTTCTTAGCTTTCTTGATTAGTCCGTTTATGCGGTTTAATATCAGACATTGAATTCTCACACCAGCAGGTAATACTGAAAATTATTGCACTGTAGAATAAAAATTGTACAGTTTTTTGAGGTAGAACAGTCTTTGGTTGAATTTCTTATTTCATTTGGCAGTGCTCATGCCATGTTAGCTTATTATTATGGTGACACCTAAGTACTTGTATGCCTCCACTTTCTCTACACTTTGATTTTTTATGTTGAGATATGTAGTAATCTCCTGAGACCCTCCTGAAATCAACAACCATTGCCTTTGTTTTTGAGACATTCAGCTGTAGAAAATTTTCATAGCACCAATTGATACACTTTAAGATATAATATAAAATATCATTAGCTTAATTTCTAAACTTAATAACATGCACATGATTTTATATTTACTTTTTTGTTTCAGTTAAAATAAATATGACTACAATTTTAAAATGGAGATTTTAAAAAAAAATGTTTACAGCATATTAAATATGGAAATTCTCACATTATCTTCTTTTTTTTTTAAATTCTAGCATCAAAGCAAATCCACAATAAAATTGACCAACATTCTTTTTAGCTTATAATTAAGTGTAGATATAAAGAAACAACTTTAGTGACTCGCTGTCATTTTGTTTATAAATATATCTAATAACTGAACTCACGTATGCTACTTTATACATGTTTTGTGAGTTTCCAAAAGGTACTGCAGTATTGAAGTAGATAGGTGGGCTCACTAAGATGGCCCCTTGATATAATGACCTGCCATACATCTGAGAGCTTAGCATCTCATCATTAGCTCCAGAGCCATATGGGTAATAGGGAACTGTTAAAAGGCCATGTTTTATATTTTATAACATATTCATTGATATAAATTTTATCTACATGATTCATCTAACAATTCAATTTCAGTTTATTAGTGGGCATATAATTCTATTTTTTTCAAACAAGGTGGGGGAGGGGGTGTTTGCATAATTATTTGAAAATAAAAATAGTAACAACAACTGTAAAAAGTTAATTTGAATCAACAATGTTCAAATGTAATTAAAGTAAAACATCATTTAACGATTCTTTAATAAATATGTATTATAAAAGTACGAACTTAATACCAGCTAACTACGAGAATAATATAATGGTAAATAATTAACTCACCGACACAAACCAATCCTGTGACATCAAGTTCTAATCCATCAGGGCAAGTGCATTTTTCTATGCCATTTTGTGTGTAACAAGTGTGGGAACATTTCTTCATGTAACATTCCTTTGAAACTACAATAATAAACACATTTTAATATAATGTGGGGCAAACACCTTGAAACAGCAAACACTACCAAAAGCATTTAATACTTATTAAAAAGTTTATGAAAAGTACATATAAAAGCAGTGCAGAGTAGTTGATAGATAATGTAAGCGCTTCAGCAGATGTAGAAAAACAGTCATTCTGCCTACAGTATTGAACAACTTTTTGCTAGTAGTGTTGCTGCATATATTTTAATGAATACATTTTCAAAATGTGTTGAGTTCATTTAATCTGGCTGGTTGAAAAAGAAATTGTGAAAAATAAAAGTATGGGACCAGCGTTGCAAACACCTTAATTATACTTTTTTCCCTAACGTTTTGGAGACCAAAGTTATTTCTAATGTCCTAAAATGTTTTTTTTTTGGGCACATATATTAAAAGTATTTGTAGTTGCTTAAAAGGTGTTGAATGCCTTTGTTTCTTCAATACCAATGCCATGAATTGCACTGGAATCCTCGGGTAATTTTTTCAAATATTTATTTTAAAAATGTTTTTAAATAACTTGGATTTTTTACTTCTTTATTATCAGTATTTGTTGTCTTTAATATTAATTCTAATATGTTTTTAATAATGTAGGAATATAGCATTTTAATTTTTTTTTGCATGAGCTGTATATAAACTAACAAAGTGTCAATGGGGTTGTAAGCCCCTTAAAAGTCCTAGCTACGCCACTTGTGATACGGTGAAGGTGCCGATTAAATCCTCAAAATCATTGTAGGCCTTTAACTATAAATTATACTTACCATCACATAACCCAGTTGAAACATTTTTGACAAAACCAGGATGGCATTTGCACGTATAGCTTCCTTGCGTGTTGGCACAGTCTGAGTTGGATGGACAAAGTACGTTATTGGTGCCCAGACATTCGTCTACGTCATCGAAGCAAGTGTGTCCACTCCATCCTGGTTTGCACACGCAATCTCCCTTAATGTTGTCACAGAACTGATAATTTTCACTGTTACAGTGGCAATATTCAGAACAGGTTTCGCCAAATGTGAAGGAACGGCAAGCTGGAATAAATAATAGATAAAATATTCACACTGATAGAGTTGACATTTATAGTTTTGGGTAAGTGTTGAAAATTAGTAAATCGAGTTTAAAAGTCACTTGATTGATTAAATATTTAACACAAAACAACATCACAGTAAGATAAATAAAATTGCGGTAGCATAAATCACCATCTCATTTTTTAAGAGTTTAGTTTTGTGCCACAGTCAGTTCAAATTTTGGGCGCCATTCCTTGTACACATTTTTATGTTCAAATATCTGTTTGGAATGAATATGACACCCCTAATTGATCATCAGTGGCAAACAGCTCTCTATATATCGATGTATTCCAACCCTTTAGTACTTATAGAGATTGAAGCAATACTGGTTGCCCTCAAGAGAGTCCACCAAAGCCTAGCAAAACGAAAAAAAATTTCCCCGGACGTTGTGGTCTTCACCAACTCATGCTCTGCTCTCGAGCAAGTGGGACGGGGCTCTATGGAGATCACAGTGATATATGCCATTCTGGAGACAGTTGTAGTATCCATGCCAAAGGAAGCAAAGTAACCCTACAGTTTATCGCTTTGCACGTTGAGGTGATGCAGCACGACAGAGTCTCATTTCCCAGATGAGAACATGTTATTGTGTGACCTGCAGCTACGTCCATAAGTTTGACGACAGAAGGGAACCAAACTGACGCTTCTGCAGCAAGGCAGACAAAGATGGTAGCTCACGTTGTGGTTGCCTGTCCCAGTGGTGGGAAGAGGGACGTGACCCTGAGGCCTGTCTTGAAGCTATGATTTACAGCGATGCCCACAAGATGAGGCAGGCTGCCAAATTGATAGCCAGGGCTGTAAAAGATTGAATCTAAACCCAAAGAGTAATGAACATACGAGGCTTTTATCACGGTTTGTTTCAAGCAATTGAAGAAGTTATTTCAAATACTAACAAAATGAGTGTGTTGAAATAAGTTTTTTTTAAAGTAAATAATAATGTACCGTGTTTACTAGAAAAAGACATTCAAAGCTCTCGATACTTTTGTGAGCTGCTGTACAATCAGAAGACATGTCTGTCATGGATGCTTCCAGGGAAAATGTAATTGCTAATAAAACTTTAGTGAACACAATTTAAAAGTATAAGTCTAAGGCATTAAGCCCAGCTCTTAATTATTAATGCATTGTGTTATTTTATGATGAACAAGATAATAGTGTGGCAACTTGTCCAGAAAAGTTTTCCAAAATACTTCATGCACTTTGACCAAAACTGTTCATTATCTTGCCAATGAAATGTTCACATTTTTTTCAACTGATAGCGGGGTGCTAGAGTTTCTGATTAACATATTTGCAGTGTACCAAAGGATGATGACATAGATGGGGTGTGTCTGATGATGAATGTAACGTTTTAAGATGGTGTTGAAAATGTAAATATTATTGACTATGTAGTGTTTGAGTATGAGGTAGAAATTTATTTTTTTTATTAAAAAGGAAAATTTAATGCAGGAAGAAGATAAATATATGGATGTGTCTCAATGAAGAATAGTTTTAAATTGTTGTGAATTGTTTACATGTTTGATGTTGAAAATATTGGAACTATCATTATTACCTGAACATACTTCATGCAAAGGTACAAAAAGAACTGAAATGTATTTACGTTTTAATGACTGATTTTGAAATTTTATAGTCTTATTCTTTTTTTTTTTCTTTTGGTTTTATGCAGTGTCCTCTTCTTCTGCATGTGGTCACTTTTTAAAAATTATGATATCACCTGTTTAAAACTTTATTTTATATACAGTTTTTTTGTTTGTTTAAGCATTCTTTGAAATAAATTAATGTGTTACCAGAAAGATAAAGAGCATCTTAAAATTATTTATTTTGTTGACCTTGCATCAAAATAAATATTCCAAAATTTGTAAACATGTCATTAAATTTTTAAAAAATTGCAATGCTTACTATGAGATATGTATGTAGCTTTGAATCCGTCTTTATCCCAATAACTCGATGATATGAAGGTAATGAACATTCTGTTGCCATTAGATCTGATAATGTGAGGAATTGAATCTATTTTCCCACTGTATCGCCCAATGACTTTGGAAGTGGCGCTGTTGCCATTGTAAAATACTACGTAATCGCGGTCCAAACCGATGCTGAACTTTTCAAACCTGAAATATAAGCAAAAATAATTAAATAAGCTGTTGTGGTTATAATTTTTAACACATGACAAAATTTTAAGGATTTAAAAAAAAAAATTTAATATTTGTAGTTTTCAAATTCTTATATAAATAAGAGTCTAGGTTTCTTACTTTTGTTATAATATATATATATATAAATATATATTATGCGCAAATATTTAATTCTTATAATAACATTAATACATCATATACAGTCTTCGAAAAACTCATAAAATAGAAAAATAATCATCCAAAAATCTGAAAAATCTGTTATATATTTTTTAAAAATTTCTTTGGTTATAATTTTTCTTTGTATGCATGCTAAATTTTTCTCTAGCATATGTACAAGGAGGGTCATGGGACCTCCTGAAATGAGCACATTTGTGTTGTAAAAAATATTTAATTAACACAAATTAAGGTGAAATAATTAATTAATTAGGCCTTATGAAACTTGCAGTAGTGTATTAAATGTGAGGCATTAAATCAGTGTTTCCCAACTTTTTTTGTGCCATGCCCGACCTAAACCTTTCTAAATTTCTTATGCCTCCCCCCCTCCCGAATCATTATACATAATTTTTAATATTCAAAAATAGGTTTGTTCACTTAAGAAAATTAACTGATATTTACATCACTTTTAACTAATGCTTATTTTAAATTGAGACTAACGATTCTCTTTTTAAAATACAAGTTAAATTATAGTAGACATTTTTTGAAGTGCCCCCCTAAATAATCAAATTGCCCCCCTGTCAGGCATGGGCACCCCTTTGGGAAACAGGGCATTAAATAGTACAGCTTGAATTTTCTGTTTACATTAGCACTCAATTAAGTTATACGCTAAAGCTAACTCAGCTGCAGGCACCCATGTTTATTGTTATGAATCACAAACAAGTGTCTGTTTTAATATTTACATCGTAAAATAGATGTGATGTTGGTAAACTTCAGACTATTTTCATCCGGTTGTATGTTATTAGCACTGAACCCATAGTCTGCATTTATTGCTGTGAGCCAAATCCAAAAAACAAATTTTCAATATAGAGATCATGAGATATAGCTCAAATTTACATTGAGTACAGGCTCATACAATTAATGTTACTTAATTTCCACAATTTTCTAACAAGGTTTGCTCCCAGGGGTTTAAACCAGTGGATTTTGAAGATCTCATTAACATAGATTCATTACCCAATAAAAGCTTCTAAAATCTACTTATGATTGTCTTTTAAGTAGATAAATCTATCATAGAACGATTGCAACAAAAAAATATGTGCATTATTCTTCGTCTTTCACACGCAAAGATGTCCAAGTTTATATTCAAAGGTGAGTACATAGGTCTCTTGCAGATCCCACTTGTGCTTGAAAAACTTGCTCTGGGGACCTAGTTATTTTGGGTATTTCTTTTTATTGAAATTTTGTAGTACGTTTGTTACAATTTTATAATGGACATATTGGAAAACCTGGAGAGGGCAAGGGCATCCAGAATTGAACAAATTTTGGGAACTGCTGGCATAGCAGAAAAAAAAAATGCCCCAAAGCACATAATACATACTGAAAAACACAAATGTGAATGATAAACAAATATATCTAGAGATTTGAATTTAAAAAAACTGTAGGAAGCTAACTGCAAAAAGTTGCGCTGATTTTTGTATAGACTTCAAATATGATTAGAAATCATTAGATAGAAAAAATTGGGAAAATTGTGTGTGTCTTTATGCTTAAACAATGAGTGGGCAAGCCTTAAATTTGTATTTTTTTTTTAAATTTACCTTATGGTTATAACATTCCCTTCATTTACTGTGATTCGC